GAGTAGGCTCTCCAAGAAAGGCCTCAAAGACTGCTCAGCTGAGCACATGCGCACAAGATGAGATGGAAGGGGAGGAGGAGGAGGAGTAGCAGGAGTAGCAGGAGTAGCAGGAGGAGGAGGAGAAGGAGGAGGAGGAGGAGTAGGAGGAGGAGGAGGAGGAGGGCAAAAATTTCAGGAGGAGGAAATGTGGAAAGGGTGGAGGCGGAGGGAGAGAGGGAGGAAGTGAAAGAGACTGAAATGGATGGGAGAGGACGAGAAGGGAGAGGAGGGGAAAGAAAGGGAAGGGAGGGGGATGGAGGGGAGGGGAGGGGATGTTACAGGTTTTCAAGGGTCTTCTCACTGAACCGAATGGCATTGTTGCATCGCCCTTCCCAATCCCATACCCTCTCAAATGCATCGCGCTAACCTTAAAGATTTGCCATTGGCGATGGGATAAAAGCAGCGCATCCTAGCATTGAACCATAACACCTGAGGACGGAGTACCTGAGCACTGGAGGATCAGGAGGTAGGCGCTGGAGAACTGTCGAGCCCCCACCATGCTGAATGTCAACATGGATCGAGGGGATGTCCACACAAAGGTCTTCATCAGAACATCAATCAAGATAAAGACAGAAGAAGATGCGGTCTCGGCGGGGCGGCAGTCGGAACACTGATCTAGTATTCACGGTTTTACTATCCGAGTTACATAGGTGAATCATAGTACTGAGTCAGGCCCGGGGCAGCCTCGCAACTTCCGAGGCTGCCGGGGCAGGTACCGGCACCCTCTCCATTACTGAACAACCAGCCTTCACCTTGATGTCAGTCGCATGCTGCATTGTGTGAACCTCCAAGCCTCGGGCACCGACATCGCTGTCACGGTCATAGGAGTGCATGCGAGAAACGACGAGGGTCAGATCGTCCTTTGCTCGCCCAGTGCTCTCCATGCTCGTCTCCGACCACTTCTTCAGGATGTTTCCCAGTCGCTCCACATAGGCACAGTGCCAGAACGCGTCGTTCCATTTGCCCGTCCTCAACTCCGGAAACTCGCGATTCAACTCTTGGAGAGCCTTGTGAGACATTTCCTCCAACGCCCTCGCTCTCCTTCCCTTGTCCGAGCAAAGGTTCTCCCAGAACCCGTCGCTTCCTGCAACGACAACGTCGCCTGCTTTTGCAGCGATCCGCCTCAGAATGTCGCCCTTCTTCACCCTGTACTGTCCCATGTGAGCTCTGTCCAGCCCTGCCTGGTAAGGAGGCTCCGCGCCGTCCACGTCCCGAGGGCTGTGATATCGAGGGGGGGACAAGTAACTGCATCCCACCCTGTTAAAAAAAAAACGTCATGCGGAAATCGCCCTCTCGACATCACCCGCTCTCCCTCACCAGTTCCTGTCAACGTCAACGCTCAGCAACGCCCACTGGCTGTCGCCCAGCTCTAGAGCCTGAATCTGTATCCCTTTGGTCTCTCCCATCGGCTCGAGCGCAAGTGCCACCACCGTGGATGACGGTCGCCTTGCTCCCACGTGATCATTATCAAACAGTCGCTCCCTCCTCAGCTTCTCCAGGGAATAGTCCAGCTTCTGCAAAAGATCTTCAAGCTCAACCTCGAGCAGAGGCTTCGCCATCTCCAACACAAGGCTTCTCGCAAGCTTCCCCGACCACGGGCCTCCCTCACCAACTCCGTCGCAGAGCACGCACAGGTTCTTGTTGACGCAGAATGCATCGTCGTACGCCAGCTTATCTAGGTAGTCGGGATGAATCTCCTTCCCAGGCTTGCCCTTGAAGCACACGAAAACTTCGTTGTATATACACCTCTTGCAGTTCTCAGGGATTTGTAGCCTAGCCTTCTTGGTGGGATGGTTCAGAGCAGGTGCAGAAGCTGGTCTAGTCTGGTCTGGTTGGCGATGCCCCCGACGCTCCAAGTTCGCCAGCTCCTGCATTGCGGGAGGTCTACAGCTACCCGTCTCAACAGCGTTTTGGGGACCCAGTAAGGGCTCAGCTGAGAGGGGGACAAGCGCTCTTGCTCCAAACTCTTTTACCTTTTCCAGCTCCTGCTGCTTTGCGTGGATCGCTGCCTCAAATCTTTGCCTTTCCCCTCTCGCCAAAGACTCCAAGCGCTGCAATTCAGAATCTTTGCGCCTGACGGCATCTTCAAGTCCCTCAAGCTTTGTTCTTTCTGCCTTGAGTTCTGCTTCAAGGCTATCCAACAACGCTAAGGACTTGTTGCCAGCAGGCTCTGCCAATTGTTGTGCAGCCTGGGCAAAGGTACGCTGCTCCTTCTCGTTATCAAGACTCGCTTGCAACTTGCTCAAGCTCGCTTGCTGTGTTCTGTTTATCTCCTCAAGGGCCTGGCGTTTCTCCTCCTCCTCGCGTAGACTGCTCTCGTGGCTCTGCTTGATCTCTCTCAATGCCTGTTCGTGACTCTCGCTCAGGCTCTGCAGCGCTTGCTCAGCATCCTTCTGCTTCCTCTTCCCATTGGCAATCTGCTTGCGTAGATCGTCTAAGCTCGCTCGCTGTGTTCTGTTTATCTCCTCAAGGGCCTGGCGTTTCTCCTCCTCCTCGCGTAGACTGCTCTCGTGGCTCTGCTTGATCTCTCTCAATGCCTGTTCGTGACTCTCGCTCAGGCTCTGCAGCGCTTGCTCAGCATCCTTCTGCTTCCTCTTCCCATTGGCAATCTGCTTGCGTAGATCGTCTAAGCTCGCTCGCTGTGTTCTGTTTATCTCCTCAAGGGCCTGGCGTTTCTCCTCCTCCTCGCGTAGACTGCTCTCGTGGCTCTGCTTGATCTCTCTCAATGCCTGTTCGTGACTCTCGCTCAGGCTCTGCAGCGCTTGCTCAGCATCCTTCTGCTTCCTCTTCCCATTGGCAATCTGCTTGCGTAGATCGTCTAAGCTCGCTCGCTGTGTTCTGTTTATCTCCTCAAGGGCCTGGCGTTTCTCCTCCTCCTCGCGTAGACTGCTCTCGTGGCTCTGCTTGATCTCTCTCAATGCCTGTTCGTGACTCTCGCTCAGGCTCTGCAGCGCTTGCTCAGCATCCTTCTGCTTCTTTTGCATCTTTTGCATTTCTTTCTTGAGCATATCAATGTTTTTGTTGTCTTTAGCTTTGAGGTTGTTAATTTCCTGCTGATTTTCATGTAGGATTGCTTGGAATTTTGCGCATTGTTTCTCCATTTTGCTTTTTTGCTCTTTCAAATCTTCCTGGCCTTTTTGTCGGGATTCAGCCAGCTGTTCTTCAAGTCGATTGCTCTTGATTGCGAGATCCTTGACTTTACTTTTTTCGATTTCAAGATTTTCTTTGCTTTGTCGTAACTCTTCTTCTAGTGCGTCTTTCTCCCTTTCTGTATCGTTGTCCTCAATGTCAGAAATAACGATCACCGTCTTGTCATCCCCTTCTTCTATATGAGGCACTTCACCTCCCGGGAGGCGTAGCTGGTCAGAGCTGCGAGAATGACTTCTTCTTCTTTTTCTGCTGGACTGCATGCTGGGTTCTATGTTCTGTTGAAAACTTCGGTCAGGACGCAAGCGTGCTACAAAGGGGGATTTGATCAAAACAAGCATTTCGAGGAGAAATGATGAAAGATAACGAAGAGAGATGGATCAAGAATCCTCTTTACATCCAGACAAAACGATCATTACAGACGGGTAGGGGAATGGAGCAGTGCATATTTGAGCACAATGTTGCAAGGAACTGAAGGATGATCCTGAACGTACGAGGCAAGGAAAGGATTCGGGCGGGGGAGCGAGCAAAGGAGGGCAGAGAGGGAGATGCCGTAGAAGTGATGGAGGGATAGTTGTCAGGATACGAGAGGAACAGGGAGGCGGGGAGGGAGGAGGCGGGGAGGGAGGAGGCGGGGAGGAGGCGGGGAGGGCGATACCGTGTTAGCGCAATGCTGGAGTAGGTGGTGGATTAACTCAGTGTTGTGCGAGGTGTTTTATAGAGACTTCCCTAAGGGGGTGGTACACCTCAGGGTGGGGGTACAGATAAGGTAATTGAGGGGTAGGGTGATTGAAATATGGGGGTGGATTTACTCAAGTACCCCTTTTCAAAACGACACATCAACTGGCACTTTTGGGGGTAAGGGTAGGTTAACCACGAACGGGATCCACCACGGGTGAAATAGGGATTGCAAAAGGGGGTGGGAGGTCCTCGAGCTGCAAGTGGTGGGTACAAGAAGTGTCGAAGAGGGGTAGTGAAAAATTGGGGGTGATTACGGTAGTACAAAACTCTGCCCTGCAAAATTGCTGTATACCGAATTGAGGCGGACTTCTCTCTTGCTCTCAGTGAAAAGCTTCTCTCGGACGACGACTTTGTCCGCATTGCTCCGATCGCGTTGGATGTCAGTCACCGTCTCGTCCTCCCTCCGTCTCCCTCTGCTCTCCCATTGCTCCTCCTGCTTTTCCTGCTCTGTCCGCTCCTGCGCTCACATGCTGCAGGTGGTTCGGAGGACGGTGAGAGACTTGAAAGTGTCGAAGAGGATTGGAATCAACCTTAAAATGGAAGGAAACAGGCGAGTGGAGGAGGGGAGGATTGTGTTGCTGACTGGCGGGCTGAAGGTGCGGAGACGTCGGGATGAAGCATCTCTGCTCAGCGATGAAAGTTTTGATCCAAGTGAGCTCGTCTGTGACCTTGTTCGTCACTCACGTGAGCAGGAGGAGAAGGCCTTTGTCAAGGTCATTCGAGCGTACAAGAACGCGTGCAAGGTGCTGATGCCTCCGCTCCTCTCCTCTCCTCTCCTCTCCTCTCCTCTCCTCTCCTCTCCTCCCATTTCGCCTCAACTCATCTCACCTGTCCTGGCTTCTCCTCTTCCTCCTCTCTCCTCCCCTCCCCTCCCCTCCCCTCCCTTCCCGTCTTGTTTTTCTCTTCCATCCCTCTTTTGCTCTTGTGTCTCATCGCGGAAGCAGGATGAAGCCGCTCAAGCCATTTCGGACTTGGTCGTGGCGCACGTGCGCATGTGGAGAGTGATGGGGAGGAGAACCTGACTTGACTGCTAGCGAGACCTGAGGCGAGGGGAGCAAGTGCAAGAAATTCACTTGTAAGAAGAGGGAAGAGGAGGAGAGGATAGGGGAGGGCGTGGAGTGGTTTGGTGGGGAGGGGAGGAGGCAGAGATGAAGTAGTTTCAGGTCGGACAACTACATTTCTGCTGCTGGAGCTCGCTTCCTGCTGGTCGTCTCTCTCCCTCCTCTTCCGCCTGCTGCTGACCGACAGGCAGAGAGAGGAAGTGAAACAGCTCTACCCGCAGCCCATCGGGAGATACATGATGCCCTTGTATGCTGCTGCTGCTGCTGCTGCTGCTGCTGCTGCTGCTGCTGCTGGTAGGTGAGGGAGAGGCAGATAGAGAGGAGGGAGGGAGGAAGGAGGCTGAAGTTGCAGCAGAGTCGAGCGAGACGGGTGCTGCCCGGCGATCAGTCCATGCAAGAAGATGAACTGCGAGAGAAACAGCCCGATCCACCTGGTCTGGTTCGAGCCGAACGTGTGAACTTGACGGAGGAGAGCTAGAAGGGAGGAGGGGAGGAGGAGGAGAGGCCGCAGCCCATCACAGGATTGTCCCTCCTGGCGTCACAACCACCCGAGGCGAGGATGCGACCTCTCGATCAGATCGAACGCGATCAGCCATGGCCTGACCAAGCGATGCGTCAAGCTTGGAGACAAACACAGGGAGGAGGAGGACGAGGAGCAGGAGAGGAGGAGCACGTACAGACCTTGAGGGGGGAGAGCGACGTTCTCATGACGAGATTCAGCATGTCAGCCACAGCGTGGGCAGGGATGCGTTGGGAGGAGAAGAAGGAAGCTCCATGAGCGACCAGCAGCGAGTCACAGACCTTCTCCTCCAGCCACTGCGAGGACAGCAACGAGTTCTTCAACACCAGTAGCTTCCTTCTCGGACCCTCCTCCCCGCTCACCCCTGCCACTGCCGCCATGAGCGCAAGTAACGCAGGGCTCTGCATATAGCGGCTGCTTCCTCCTCCTCCTCCTCCCCCTCCCCCTTCCCCTGCCTCCTGCTGCCCTCGCCCCGCTCCTAACGAAGCGTTTGAATCCTCCTCGCATGCCAGACGGAGCAGCTGCATGATGACTTTGAGGTCGCCAAGATCCTCCTGCTCCTCCCTCCTGCTCCCGTCCTCCTTCAGCTCGAGCGGGAGGGAGGAGGTGATGAGGCATGCGAGCTGCAGGAGGGCGTGAAGGCGGCAGAACTCCTTGCGCTCGACCTCGCTCAGCATCTCCTCCAGCAGCCTTCGCTCCACCTCTGCGCCTGGTCAGAAAGGAGAAGCCCAGCTGCCTCTGACCTGCACGAGGAAGGCACGTGCGGAGAAGCGACGGGAGGACGCGATGCAGCACGCGAAGCTCGACGGGGCAGGAGGAGCGCGTCCTGAGAAGAAGGTCGTCGATGGCTCGCGGGGACCCGGCCATCGTCCTGGTCACGACGACCTGCAGCAAGAGCAGGAGGGAACAGGAGGAAGAGGAGGAGGAGGAGGAGGATCAGGAGCAGCACTGAGATTCAACTGAGAGTTACTGGAAGGAGGAGAAGTCGCAGTTTGACGTTGGGGCATTTAAAGGCTGACCATTAATTTCAACAGCTGAAGAGAATTCAAAGGGGACGGAGCAGGAGCAGGGAAGGATGAAGGAGGAATGAGAGGAGGAGGGAGGAATAAGAATGTTTTCATACTGACCAGCGATGGCGTCGACAAGCTTGAGGAGATCGTTATCCAACAAACCCTGAGAAGAAAATGAGGAATGTCAGCTCTTTCAGCCGTTCCCTAAGCACCTCTCCCTCCCTCCTCCTCTCCCTCACTCCTCTTCTCCCTCCCTCCTCCTCTCCCTCTCTCCTTCCTCTCGTTTCTTTCTCGCACTTATCCTCTCTCAGTCTCCGATCTCTTCATACCGCCATCATCAATCGCTGGACGATATTGCAGATGGTTCGGACGAGAGGAGCAGGAGACTCCAGCGAGCAGGCGACGGCAACAGCAGCTGCTCACACGTTAGAGAGGTTGTGGTTGTGGTGGTGGAGCAGGAAGAGGAGGAGAAGAAGGACGAGGTGGCGGTGATGGTGGCGGAGGGGGAGGTGGAGGAGAACCTTGCATGACATCTGAGAGGAGCTGCTTCCTGGTCGCTGCAGCAGGGTCAGCTCGCCTCCTTGCGGCTTGCTTGCGCTCACCTGATGGTAGAGGACCGAGGAGGATCAGACTCTCAGCGAGCGTCCAGGCCTGCGAGCACAGGCTGAGTCGTTCATCCACCTCCTCCTCCTTCATCACCAGTCGCTGCTGCTTCGAAGGGAATGCGAGTGTGTGCTGCGTGCGGACGCCCAGGGAGGAGGAGGAGGCGACGGAGCTGGGGCTGTCAGCAGCGGGAGAGGAGCGGGAGGGATCACCCGGCGAGTCCAGCTAGGCTCCAGCGGGCAGGAAGCAAGCAGAGGCGAGGAGGAAGATGACCAGCTGGAAGAATTGAGGTCATAGGAGGTCGTAGGAGGTCATAGGAAGGAGCTACCGATGAGAGGAAGGAGAGGCTGGAGAATGTTGCGGAGGGAGTCAGACGTCTTTCTCCTCCCCTCCAAGCAGATCCGAACAGCCACGTAGGCTGCTTGCCGCACACACGCCTGCTCCTGCTGTCACTTGCAGACCCCCCCCCTCCTCCTCCTCCTCCTCCTGCTCCTCCTGCTCCTCCTGCTCCTCCATTCGTGCTCACCTGCTCAGACAGGATCGCATCCTTCAAGACTTTGAGCAGCGTCGCAGCGTGACGAGCTTTGCAATCCTCAGATGATGGAGAAGAGAAAACAAAGATAGGTTCGAAGCACACAGAGAAAAGGAGAAGCTGCAATGAAGCCAAACAGTTGAGGGGGAGGAGAAGGATTGAGGAGGACAGGAGAGCGAGGGATCGAGGAGATTGCGAATGTTCTACCCGCAAGAACAGGACCCGCTGCTGCTGCTGCCGCTGCCATGCCTTGAACGATCCACGCGTGAGCGAGAGAGTCGCTTTCCGTCCAGCCGATGGCATAAGCGCGGAGGTAGACCTGGAGGAGCGTGAGGAGGAGACGCTGGCGCTGCTACTTGTGCTGCTCCTCACGTTCAGAACCCACTCGCTCGCTGCTGCCTCTTCCACCAACAGCAGCAGCTGACCCAGCAACCGCAAGGCCATGCGCCGAATGCGAAGGTAGCCTTGAAGAGCATGTGAGGTCAATGAAGAGAGAGAGGAGGGAAGGAGCAAGAAATAGGAGAAGGGAGGAGAGAGGCGAGAGGAGAGAGGAGGGGAGAGAAGAACAGGCGAAGAAAAGGCAAAAGAGGATTGAAAGCAGCAGGTGGACAAGGAGGGAAACGACGCTAGGGGTAGCAGTAGGCGACGCAGTGGGGGGGGGGGGGGGGGGGGGTAGAGGAGGCAGTAGGAGAGGAGAGGTAGTTCACCGCTTCCGAACACATCCTCATCACCAGCCAGGCAGTTGTAGAGAGGGAGGAAGAGAGACATTGCCTGCAACGAGTTGAGCCTCCTCCTCCTCCTCCTCCTTCTCCTCCTCAAACTAGTTGCAAACCTTCTGCTCGAGATCTTTTCTTGTCACCCCTTCATATCCACCCTTCTCCTGCTTTTCTGATCCCTCCTGTTCCTCGCCCTCTTCCTCCTCCTCTCTTCTTTCGCTTCTGAGTTCGTCCCCTGACTGCTCGTCAGACACAAGCACACCCTTCAGCGCTCACTTGCCCCAACTTTCCTCCTCCTCCTCCAGCGCGTACACTCGCTCCTCCTCCTTCCTTGCCCTCCTCGCGCTGAGGCCATTGCTTCCTGCCCAGCTGCCCCGCGAGACCTGCCCACGTGTAAGGGGAGTAGAGACCAGGCGAGTGGCCAACATGCTCCAAATAGCTGCGATGAAGCTTCCTCTGCTGCTCCAGCAGCTCCACCCCCCTTGAGGAAGAGAGCCAAGGTAGCGGCTCCCTGACAGAGCCGTCAAGAGCAAACAAACTTTTCGCCTTCTGCTTCCTGTTTGTCCCTCTAATCTTAACTTCGCTTCCTCCTGCCTGATCCCCTCCTCTTCTCTCTCTCTCTCTCTCTCTCTCTCTCTCTGTTCCCTTCGTGCACTTGCCTGCCGTCAGCTGAGCAGCCGAGCGGGTACCGCAGGAAGTGAAGAGGAAGGCTCTTTTGGAAGAGAATCTGCGAGGAAGCATGAGGAGCGAAAGGAGACTTGACGAAACAGACGTCCAACAGCAGGTGAAACATTCTCTCTTGCTCCTCAGCCCATTCAGCATCAAACTGCTCCTGCTCCTCCTGCTCCTCCTGCTCGTCCTGCTCGTCCTGCTCGTCCTGCTCCTCCCCTCCCGCAGAAGGAGGTTTGGGAATCTTGAGCGGGGAGATGAGGTTGGTGCGGAGGAGAAAAGGATCGAGAGCCATCACGACAGACTGCAGCAAAATCAGCGATGAGAGGGGGGAGGGAGCGGGGAACAGAGAGAGACGGAGATGGGATGATGAGGAGAGGAGAGGAGAGGAGAGGTGAGGTGAGGAGAGAAAAGGGGAGAGGAGAGGAGAGGAGAGGAGGGGAGGGGAGGGGAGAAGCACACCTTCCATACTGCCTCAAGATCTCTTTTGCTCTTCCACGTCATGTGTTCGCGGCTGCGGTTGGAGGGCAGCGAGCTGAAATGCTGTTTAGCTCCTCATATACAAGATGAAACTGCCCACCTGCCGTCCAGCTGACTCATCGAAAGGTTTGACAGGACGGCCTCCCTCAGCTGGACTGCTGCTCGACCCAGACAACCTCTGCCATGGGATCCCTTACGGATCCACCGGCCGCCAGCTGCTGGACAACAACAAGAATTATCACGCTGCTGCTGCTGCTGCTGCTGCTGCTGCTGCTGCTGCTGCTGCTGCTGCTGCTGCTGCTGCTGCTGCTGCTGCTGCTGCTGCTGCTGCTGCTGCTGCTGCTGCTGCTGCTGCTGCTGCTGCTGCTGCTGCTGCTGCTGCTGCTGCTGCTTCCCCTTTGTCTTCTTCACGCTTCTCCTCCTCCTCCTCCTCCTCCTCCTGTGTTCTCATACCGAAGATGCCGAGCATACTCTCCTTACTCGCGCATGCTGCGTCCTTTTCGTTCACCCTCCACGTCCCCTCCAGCAGAGTCAGCTCTCATCCCTTCCTGCTCCTCCTCCTAACCACCTGCAGCTCCTCCAACTTCCTGTCAGCTGACGCATCGAGCATGGCGATGCGTCGAAGGAGGTGAGGCAGCGTCTTTGCTATGCTGGCGCTCAATCCTGCAACGATGAACGTAAGGGTTGATGCAAGATCGAATTATACACGAGCAAGGAGATGGAGGGGGTGCGAGGGAGAGGAAGAGGAAGGATTAAGAGAAGAGGAATGGAAGAGGGAGGAGGGAGGAAGCTGAACCTTGTATGGACAAGGACGAGCGTCCAGGGCCTGGCACAGGAGCAGGAGCGACTTTGAGGCCTAGAAAGAAGATAAACGACAGGTGAGGACTCTCCTCCTCTCGTACAGGTGGAGCTAAGGTGAAGGATGGCGAGAGCGGAGGCAGCAGGGAGGGAGGAGGAGGAGAGGAGGAGAAGTTCAGCCTCGCAGTAGCGCATGAGCTTCGTCCTCGTCTCCTCCCTCCCATCACGAGCCATCGACGTTCCGTCGAGCTCGAGCAGGACAATCAGCGTCGCTCTCAGCCTGTCAAGCACCGGCTGCTGGGTCACAGCTGAACTTTGCCTCCTCCCTTGCATCCTCGTGCTGAGACCGAGCTGGAGTAATCTATCAAGTAGAGAGGCGAGGAGGCGGAGGTTGAGCGTCTTCGCTGCTCCTTCTTGGAGCAGACGATCGTGAACGAGGACACGGACAAGCTCGTCTCGCTCCCACATCAAGCTCCCTCCTCCTCCTGCTCCTCCTCCTGCTCCTCCTCCTGCAATCTCACAGCTCAACAGCATTTCGCTCGCCGCTCCGATTAGCCACAGCATGTGCTCTAGAGCATCTTCCTTGATCCGCTTCTCCTCCTCCTCCTCCTCTCCTGCAACGATCTTGTCGATCAACTTCACCAGCTCACCCTCAGCCCCTTCCACTTCTTGCTTGCTCTGCTCTCCCCACGACATCATCGACTCTGCTAGCAGCACCGAGCCTTCCCGGTGCAGGAACGAGTCGCGCGCTGCTGCCTCCTGCCCCTCAGCTGCCGACAGGAGGCCGACGAGGGAGGACGACAGCGAGCTCCTCGTGCTCGGCTCCCCTGCCGGCCCCTCCCCGCTGCTCGCCTCCAGCAGATCTGTGATCAGTCGACACAGGTGCTTGCATCGCTTGCTGCTGATTGGCATGAAGTAGCACACCCTCTTCTTCGCCTCTCTTTTCTCACCCTCTTTCTCCTCTTCCTCCTCCTCCTTGTCCAGCAGACCGTAACTTCGCTTCTCCAGCTTGGCTCGCAGGCCCCTGAGCTTCATGCTCGCTGTTCCTCGCAGCTCCAAGCAGGTCGCATCCGGCGCCATGTACCGCTGGAAGACGGCTCGCACTACTTCCTCTGACACCGCGAGCTGCCCCAGCACCGTGAGGTCTCGGCTCTTCTCCCCGAGCCCCCTCCACATCCCCTTCCCTCTCCTCTCCTCCTTCCTCCACCTCGCCTTCAGCTCCAGGAGGATCCCAGCTGAGCAGCCGTCGCAGAGGTTCACGTGCGCCCACACGCGAGCAGCGAGCGGGTGAGTCGGAAGGCGCAGAAGGAAGCGAGTCCTCTCCCTGTCGATGCTCGTCGCCAGCTCTTTGCCCAGCTGAGATGTCATGCGGCTCGCCAAGATCGCGCAGCCAGAGGTGAGGAGGAGAAACTTCTTGACGACGCGACTCCAGGAGTCCGAGGAGAGACGAGGAAGAGCGGGGGGAGGCAGTGAAAGGAGGAGGCAAACAAGAGAGGAGGAGAAGACGAAGCTTGCAGGAACCTTGTCGGAGAGGAGGAGGGGAAGAGTGTTGGAGAGGAAGGAAGAGAACAGCGGCTGCGAGGCTTATGAGCGAAGAGAGGAGACGATCAAGCCTGACGTACCCGCACACACGCAGCGACAACCTCGAGCACATCGATGCTGAGACCGTTGAGATGCCTCTGAAGAAGACTTGAGGAAGGAAGAAGAAGCCGAGGACAGGGCAGAGCAAGAAAGGAAAAGAGAGGAGGAAAGGAGAAGAGAGGAGGAGGAGGGGAGGGGAGAAGGGAAGAAAAGGAGTAGAAGGAGGAGCAAGTGCATGTGAGGACAGCAGCAGGCAGCACCTGGAGCAGCACGTAGAGGACGTCATATCGATCCCTGAGGAATTTCTGCGACTCGACCATCGGGCAGAGGAGGGAAAAGAGCGTCTGGATGCCGTACAGGAGACATTCCTCCACCTCCCTGCCTTCTTCCCCTGCACCTCCATGCAGCAGCAGCAGCAGCTGATGGACGCCCTCCAGCAGCTGCTTCACAGCTCTCGCCACCTCCTCCAAGCAGCTCTTCCCCATCTCCTCCGCATGTAACGAACTCAAGAGCCGCAACCAACTGCCAGCCCCTCTCACACTCCTGCACAAGCTCTCCTCCTCCTTCTCCTCAGCTTCCTCCTTCGCCTTTCTTTCTCCTCCTGTCCGAAGCTCAACTGCTTCCACGGCCCATCGGCAGAGCTCCTTCGCCGCCAGCTCTCCTACCCGGCAGAGGGCGACGAGTCTGCGGGCAGCCTCCACCTCCTGGACTGGTCGCCACTGCCTGCTGAGGAGGAAGGGCACCGCCACACTCTGAATGCGCTCCAGCAGCGCCCTCCTGCTCACTTCCGGCAGGCTGACCTGCAGCTCCATGACCACTCCCTCCAACGTCTCAAGGGACTGCTGAACATGCTCCCCTGCTGCTCCTCCTCCTCCTCCTGCTTGCCCAGAGCCCTCGCCCAGAGATCCCATCACGACGTCGAGCAGGGACTTGAGGAAGGAAACCTGTACTGACATCTCTCGCGCTTCGTGCTGACGCTGAGCGGCGAGGAGGCGAACGGAGAAGCGAAAGAGAAGGAGGAGGTTGACATGCCCGCCCGGTAGCCGACGAGCCTCGAAGAAGAGGCTGAGGCTCTGCTGGAGGGAGACGAGGGGCTCTGAGCCAGCCGAGAGGTCGAGGAGGACGGAAGAGCCGAGGATGTGGAAGTAGAAGGAGAAGAGCCGAGGGGAGGAAGGAAGGAGCGAGGGCATCTTGAGCTTCGAGATGAGATCTGTACAAGCGTCAGGAAGAGGGGAAGCAGACAAAGGAGGATGCGAGGAAGGATCTTTGAGGAGGAAGAGAGGAGGAGGAGATGGAGGCGGAGAAAAGTAGAGGAGGAGAGGAGAAAAGGAGCGACTTGCCAGCGAGATAGCGCTCGAAGCCGACGAGAGCACGAAAGTTCCAGCCAGAGGAGATGAGGGAGGAGAGGAGGGCAGCTGCCTCCTCCTGCTCCTCGTCTCCCTGTATGTCGCTCGTCCTCATCATGGCATCCTCTGCCATAACCTTGACGGAGCTTCTGATGCCCTCTAGCAGAGCCCCAGGATACTCGCGGGAGGAGGAGAGTGAGAGGACGAGGTGACGGAGCAGCCGCAGGTAGGAGGAGGAGAAGCGTGGCCTGCTGGTCTTGAGGAACGTGCAGACGTCTTGCATGAAGAGCCTGCCGGTCGACTCGTCGCTCGCAGAGAGCACGAGGAGGAGGGCGTCAAGGAAGGATCCTTCGAGGTGAGAGAAGGAGAAGGCTTCCTCCCCCCTCCCGCTGCCTCCTCTGCTCTGCTCGTCGTGGTACGTCAACACCTGCGCGTCCTCCTTCTTGGCCTGCTGCATCTTGGCGAACAGCTCTCCATACCAGCCGGAGAGCGTCGGGGAGACAGCTGGGGCCTCGCAGAGGCGGAAGAGATTCATGAGCATGCGAAGATGATCAATCGCCTGATGAAAATTCAAACAACCTCGAGAGAGAAGCGAAGAAGAGACGAGAGGAGGCGAGGGGAGGAGGCGAGGGGAGGAGGCGAAGGGAGGAGGCGAGGGGAGGAGGCGAAGGGAGGAAAGAAGGACGGAGGCCGAGGTTCACAAGAGGACCTGCATCCAGAAGCTCTCGCCCAGGCCTCGTACGTGCTGCTTGGCAGGCAGCGAGAGGAGGCGGAAAAACTCACCGTGGAAGGAGAAGTCAGCGCAGAGGGGCGAGGAAGTCACCTTGTCCTGCAGGAACGGCAAGAGGCCGCATGTATGCACACTTGCAACCATCCTCAAGCTTGACACGGAGCTGCTCGCCTCCTCCTCCTCCCCACAGGGCTTCACGAGATGCTCACAGACCTTGCGGAAGGTGCTGACCATGGTGAGGAGAAGCTTGCGATCAGAGGAGGAGACGATGAGGTCGGCGAGGAGGCGCAGGACGTGACCTCCATTGCGACTGAGGACCCTCATCTTCATTCCTCGCGCCTGGAGCATGCGGTCCAGGATCACCTGCTCCTCGCACGTGCCCGCCAAGCTGCCTCCCCAGGCAGGCATTGCCCGGTCGCCGTAGAAGGAGGAGGCTTGCTGAAGGAAGAGGAGGAGGGAGCTCTGAGCTGCCGTGATGACCTTGCTCGACGAGTGCCGCAAGCTTGCGAGAATGAAGTCAAGCGCCGCCTGCTGCAGCTGCAGGGCTGCCTTGCCACCTTTCCTTGCCGCCATCATCCCGATGCCAGCCCAGTCGACAGAGGAGAGGAGGGAGAGCATGCTGACCGTGACCCCCCAGTAGTTGTCGGGGAGAGAATGAGGGCGAACTTGGAAGAAGAAGACGAGAATTCTGAGAGACAGGAACGAGAAGCTCGGATACAAGCTCGTGACCAGCAGTATTTCCCCCATCCCCTCGATCGCGTTCTTCTTGACGCTCTGAATGCTCTCACCGCTCATCTCTTCCAACCTCAATATCAGCCTGATCTCTAGATCGAGTGATGACTGCAAACGACTGTTCAACATAAATCTTCCTTCCTCGCATTCCCCCTCTTCCTCTTCCTCTTCCTCTTCCTCTTCCTCCTCCTTCTTTCCGTCCCCAATCCCCCCCTGCTCGTCTTTGCTTGAGCTCTTGTGCCGGAGCTTGGAGCAGACCAAGGAGGAGATCAGCGTCGCTGCTTCACTGCGAATCGTGGGGTCGTTGTCGACATCAGCACATTGCAGGGCGAAGTCAACGAGGGCTCGACCGTGTCCTCGTGCCTCCTCCTCCTCCTCCTCCCCGAGGGCCCAGCACCTCACGGATCGCGCAAGGCATCTGAGAGCAGCTGCCTTGTGCGCTGTCTTGGCCTCCTTGGCCTGAGCAACGAGGAGGAGTCGCGCCATGCTTACAGCAAGCAGCTTCTCCTCTTCGTGCGCGTCAGTCGTTGGCCAAGCTCGCTCGAGCAGCTTCTCCAGGAGCGTCAGAGCTGCCGAGCAGATGCGGGAGTCTTGAATGGAGGGATGAGAAAACCTGCGAGGAGGTGAGGGCGGGAGGGCGGGAGAGAGCGAGGGAACCTGAGGGAGAGGAGGGATAAGCTCGACCGGAAGCGAGCAAGGGTGCTGCTCGGCAGCGGCGCATCGAGCAAGCGGGTGATGCCGATCAAGCTTCCTAGCAACGCCTCCTCCCCGCACTCTGCGACTTGGTGAGATTCAGACGCCTCTGAGCCTCCTGCTCACCTGCCACGGACTCGCAGACAGCTGAGCTCAGGTAGCCTTCCGGGTCCTCGTCCACGTGCAGGAAGTGCAGCAGCCACTCGATCACTCGGTCCGACAGGATCTCGTCCACATGCCGCATGCTGCCCTCCCCGCCCGACTTGTCGTCCACGTACGACAAGAAGTTGCGATGAGCCGAGCAGATGCTGCACAAGGAGGAGGCGATGCTGCGGGCCCGCGCGTCAGAGCCTGAGAGCAGCTTTGGCAGGAGCTGATTCTGAATGGACAGGAGGGTCTGACACTTGAAGTAGCGCCCCAAGGCTGGCAGCACCCTCCTCAGCGCACTGTCTAGCGCCGCATGTACCTCATCTTCCTCCTCTCCTGCCAGCGTCTCAAGCACAAGGGCCAGTCGCTGGTTCACAAACGACAGGGCTGACGCGTGCTTGATGTGGGAGGGCAAGAGGACTGAGAGCCAGTGGAGGGCAAGGCAGCGAGAGCGAGGAAAGCGAAGACGAAACGCCTTGAGGAAGACGTCGAGAAGGCGCGGGCGACTGGAGCTTGGAACGGCCCTGACCACACGGAGCAAAACGTCTTCAGCGTGCAACTTCACTGAGACATCCACTGCCCCTTGGGCAAGCAGAAGGTAGTTGATGGTTGTCGCAAGCAGGCGATCGAAGTGACTTTCATGTCGAGGAGGGAGACTGAGCAGCTGCGTTGCAACCTGCTCGCAATGTGCCAACTTGCTCTTCCAATCCACCTCCGTTCGCAGAGAGGAGAGAGATTCTGCTAGCTCGTCTAGAGCAGCATCCTCCATGTCGCTGGTCAACGATCAGACTGGCGTCGATCTGAAAGCAGAAGGTCAGGAGATCATCAGCAGAAGCCGGAGGAACACAGAAGGAAGGAGGTGGACGAGTGAGTCCAGCTCCGAGTTAGGGAGATCACTGGAAGAGGGAGGGGAGCGGGGACTGGGGAGGGATGTGATAGAAAATAAGAGAGGAGAGCAGTGAGAAGAGAAGAGTGGGATCAGGTCAGGTAGCGAGAGGGGAAGGACGACGAGGGGAAGGGGGGGGGGGAGGGGAGGGGAGGGGAGGGGATCGCCATACCGGATCGCCATTTTATTCTTACGACAAGACCGGGTCCGCCTCAGACCATTTCTACAGCTTCGTGTGCGGGCAGGAGGAGGATGTGAGAGTGCGATGAAGAGAAGCAGCGCAGGCGCAGACGCGAGAGAGAGAGAGAGAGAGAGAGAGAGAGAGACAGACAGACAGACAGACAGACAGACAGACAGACAGACAGACAGACAGACAGACAGACAGACAGACAGACAGACAGACAGACAGACAGACAGACAGACAGACAGACAGACAGACAGACAGACAGACAGACAGACAGACAGACAGACAGACAGACAGACAGACAGACAGACAGACAGACAGACAGACAGACAGACAGACAGACAGACAGACAGACAGACAGACAGACAGACAGACAGACAGACAGACAGACAGACAGACAGACAGACAGACAGACAGACAGACAGACAGACAGAGACAGACAGAGAGAGAGAGAGAGAGAGAGAGGCAGCGAGGCAGAGAGACAGAGACAGAGATAGAGACAGGGACTGAGGGTTAACAAGTTGAGTTCTTTGCAAGGCAAATCAAAATCCAAAAAAGTACAAGGGAAGAGCAGAGCTTCACTGCTCTACACGACTGGGTGACTGGTGACGGCACTTTCAAGTTTGAAAACTTGTGATCTCAATCTCTGGCTGGATATTCTCAAAGTACTTGTAGGTATTCAATCTGGTTTTTGGCATCTTCTCATCCCAGTCATCAGGTAGCAGGGCCAACTTGTGCTGGATCTGTGAATTCACTCAAAAAAAGAAGATGAAAATCATACCCAGAATACCTCGTTGAGTTGTTGTCTTAGTTCATCATGTCTTTGAATCATGCTGTTCAGGAAGACTGAAATGAGGGTGTGAGATATGGTCAGGAAAAGAAAAAGCTCATACTTTCACTGCTGCGCGAAAGGGAAACACCACGAACTCTAGCGAGGACCTTCTCACATTCACTGATTTCTTGCTTAATCAGTAAGTATTTTTCTTCCAGATGCTTCTTCTCTCGTTCATCAGCTTGCTTTGATTTGACATCAAACACACGGCTGTTAACAACACGCAATTCGCTCTCAGGCACTATCGACCTCTCCGAGATCTGCCTGCCGACCTTCACCGGTTGCATGCACCCGTTGTCGCACATGCTAACCTCTGCGCCCATGGTTGAATGTAAGGGTTTGCCAACTTCCCAGAGATTCCTTTCTACTTGAAGGTCTGCAATAAGAATAGTGGATGTTTACGAGCAAAAAGTTGGATATACTAAACAAGGTGTTCAAGACGCGAATGACATCAACTGAACGACGAGTATGCCACTGCGATCAGATGATGACACTGACGAGAAACCGATGACGTGGGGAGGGTAAGGAAGTGGAGGAGGAGGAGGAGGAGGAGGAGGAGGAGGAGGAGGAGGATGAACAGCGTGAAGAGAGTGAGGGCTCAAGGGAAAGGGACCCCCTACCCCTCGGTGAAGTTACACCAGCCCACCCCTCATCTCGCAAATGTTTGCCTGCTACACCCTACCTTTTCACTGGATTATCACCCCTTCCACTACATGACGACCCCGTGGTTCACCAAGAGGGTTGAAAAGTTGGCATTGAACAGGGGGTGGATGAAAATACCCAAATGTAAAATTAAGAACCCCCCACCCCCAATCGCGCTGACGGACTATCCACCCCTCCTTGTACTTCACGATAAAATCTACTATAGAGGGGGTGGGGTGAGCGGCGGGAAGGTGGGTGGTAGCCGTGGCCACTCTACGTTCAGTTAACTTTACGAGGTCACGTGTCAAAAGTCATCCAGTCACTGACCAACAAGGATACCTAGGAGGCAGCGAAAACCTCTACACGAGGAATACAGCAAAGACATTGACTGTGAACAGTATACCGGACCCACCTGGTATCTGATCATAGTCTGTCTCTCCTTCAACTCGTTTAAATGATCTCGTATTGACACATGGACTAGTGTACAAGCGCTACTTGAAGCTACCAGGAATCCTCCAGTCCTTCACCACTATGTGATGGGGACTCGATCGAGCAGCAGCGATCGCTTCGTTGATTCTTCGCTCTCGATTGGCTTTCACGGTCAGGGAGGCCTTGGGGTGTGTCAGATGTGTGAGCGTCCGTGAGCGACGCCAGCGCCTTCCGCTCGTCAGACACGCCAACAACAATGGCGTCTCACCGCAGTCGCTTGGTCGAGCATCAACAGCGCGTCTCCTCGAAGCGCTAAGATCTTAATCTGTAGCTGAAAGTCGGAGTTGTCCTCTACCACGCACTCGCTCGCCTTCTGCAGGAGGTCGATGGCCTGCATCCAGACAGAATTCTCAGAAGCAGACTTTGAGAACTTGGAAACATATACCCCATCGGGCCCTTGAAACGTTAAAAAAAAAAACACAAAAAAGTGCATTTTTTGAGTTGTCTTAGTTAACTTCATCCAATCGATGATTGAAAATAAGACTCAGACAATGTACTGAGAGGAAAAACATCCAGCAGCGTCTGGGATATACACAAAATCAAAAGCTATAAAGGAGGAGACTTGGATTGATATATAACAAACATTTCATATGGAAGCAAAATGATCCGAACAAGTCCAAGGCAAGTGCTTTCATCTCCAAGCACCTGGAGTATCGTGATTCAGCATTCAAAGTTGGAGCTTCAAAATCTTTACAAATCAGGCATCCAGGCATTCCAAGACGAGGGAAGCATACAAGAGGACACCGTTGTACCATCCTCTACCCCCTGAAATTTTCGAGTCCAAGCTTCTTCGCAAAATCTTTCGCAAAAGCTTGCACGCGCAGCCGCCGCCGAGACGTGCTTGCAAGACTGAGCACGAAGGATTTGACTGCCATTTCAAAGTGCGGCTGCTGCCTCACCGCTCGCTTCACTGTCGGCTTCACTCCTGATGCCGCCATGAGCTTGAGTTTGCAAACGTTGGAAGCTTGCAGGGGGCAATCGGGCTGCTTGGGTACATCTGGCGTTCTTGAAGATCGCAATCAAGGACAGGGGCTTCTTCTGATTTGGTTTGTGCCACAAAGGAATGGGCCTGGAAATCTTCGAAAATCATTGGAAGGTTCCAGGCAGGGAGATTCTCCGCGCTCGCGAGTCGCTGATTAAAGGGCTCCATCGCTTGAGCTTGCTTGCACCAATATCCTCATGGTCGAGCAGCAAAAGGGCTCAGTGGAATCAAGAGGGATACGACTATTCAAGTGCCGAATAGCTTGATGAACAAAGGCGAGGGCAAGGACAAGGATAAGGATAAGAAACAGATCAATGGCAAGGGCAAGGGGGATGAAAGGGGTGGGGTTGGTACACAGGCGGACGTCGTCTCCGTTCACCATGGACTTGTTTAGGGTCAGTAGATTAGAAGCGCAGATCTGCCTTTCGTCTTCTCCATGTCTCTTGTCTGAGGTGGATGCTTTTACTATGGAATATTTTGCGTGTGCTGCTAAGTAGCTTTCCTGAATTACGAAGATTCTGTCTGCACCTTTACTCAAAGTTGAGTTAAAAATCAGTACGAGGACAATCAGGAGAGTCGAGGAGGCTTGCACAGGTTTTCAACTGTTGAGGCTTCACACGCCTCAGGACATACAAGACATACTGCAAGACATAGATCAAAATGATGAATGCTCGACGCGGCATAAGCAAGGTCGGATAGCTGTGTCAGCTGCATGACGACTTATAGTACTTTCGGAGGACATCAAGAGGAAGCCCCATCGAGAAGTTCACGGTCATCCACAACCAGGTGGAGTGTGTAGACATTTTCCCTATCCACGACCGTATCAATCTCAGCGACATGGGTTGCATGCTGTACGAAGATGCCATGGACGAGCTCTCGTCCAACCCCACGGTTGACATGTCCAGCGGGGCAACAAGAAACCAGAACCATTGGTTCTACCAGGAGGAACCTGTGATGAACCACTACCTCAAGAAGATGTATGAGCAGCTGAGCGTGAGCCATGCCCAGATCATGATCGACAGAAGCCTGATCTCGTGCTGGATCGCCAAAAAGCACCCCGACATCCATTATAAGATGCCCAGCGATGCCAGGCTCCTCTACCCCAGCGCCACCTACCATCACTCTACCCTCCCGGACATAGGCACCTCATCCAGAAGGACTGGAAGTCCAACCTCATCATCAACATCATATGCAACAGCATCCCCTGCCTGAAGCGAAACCGCGTCGCCTTGCTGCCGGAGAAGAGCTTCGTCCATCCCTACGCATCCGTGCTGGTCAACATACTGCACTGGCGGCTCCTCGGCCTCTACCCCAACACGGCCAAGAGGCCCTCCTTCAAGCAGAGGGTGAGGTGCGCGAGTGAGCTGAGGCAGGTGATGACCAGCCCGCTCTCCAGCCGGGCCAGGTTCCTCTACTCCAACCTGAATCTCCTTAAGCTTGCCATGATGGATTATGTATGGTATGCATGCAATCACTTCCTTGTCACCGAGAGCGATGTCATCTACAATGTCCAGGGGATGCAGACATTCTTTGACATATGCCCCAACGTGGCGGACGCCTTCAGGCAGGAGACATTACAAAAAGAGGGATGGACATGGGAGAGGCTGGATGAGGTCGCGTCGATGCGCGTGGATCGGTGTGTGAGGACCTGCAAGTTCAGGTCGGGCAGGAACGCGCCCTCCAAGGACAACGTGATCGTGAAGTGGAAGAGGATCAACGAGGATATGGACCACCGAGATGCAAGGTCTACCCCCTGCCCTGCAACCTCACGGCGATGCAGTGCTCGGTGCTGCTAAGAGAAGAGTACCCTAGTTTTTCACATCAAGTATACTGTCAGTTACCTTTTGACCCGAAATGCACAATTCTTTCACAACTCCACTTGAAGCAATAGATCAAAATGTTCATGCTGTTGCAACGCTGGTGCCCCTCATGGAGGGAAAGGAACACTCTTCAACACCAGAGGACATACGCATGAAGAACAGAATTTGAACAAGGCATTTCTGACTATTCGTTCAAACCGCATCAGTCATCATGGCATCAATGGTGCATTCAAAAAGACAAGTCGTTCTGACCGTTTCTGCACCGTGGAGGCCGAGACCCAACAATCCTACAGCGGCAAGAATGAGAAATCGCTTGTTCGATCGTGTATTCGATCGAGGCTCACATGACTGAATTCAACTCCCCCGTGTTCGAACTTCAGCAATGTTCCATCATTTACCAGACTCACCTTCGACTGGAACCCCCAACGTAATTACGTTGATCACTATTCGAAGACCCCAACGTAAACCTCGAGTGGAACCCCCAACGTAGACGAGAATGATAAGTTTCGAGGAAAGAAGCCACGACGTGACTTACATCAAGTAGGGGTGGCTCTTCGAATAGTCAAAGGAAAGTCAAGTATAGTATTCAGTCTTTTCCCATTTCATCCTTGCAGTGAGGTCACTCATAATCTGTACAGTCGTATCGACATGCAGTGAAGCGACAGAGGATAGCTGAGGACGACCTCGGAGGAACGAGCCCTGAGAAGAAGCAGAAAAAGGAGGCAGGATCCATGAGGATGATGGAGTCGGGAAAGTCAGGAAGGAGCCATAGAAGGAGATCATCTGCCCGCTCCGCTCCTATTTCCTTTCTCCTCCCTTCCCGTCTCGCTACTTCCCGCCCCTTCCACTTCCCCGTCCCCGTCCTCTTTCTCGTTCTCTTTCCCTTTCCCTTTCCCTCTCCCCCCTCTCTTTCTTGTTTCTGATCATGTAATTGCATATCCACGTTTTCATTTCAACAAACAAGTGAAACTTCCTCGCTAAGGACGAGGTCAAAGAGGCAAACTACAGGAGCTGCAGCTTGCGGGATCAAGACGCCTTCTCACCTCTCCCTTGATCCTGCCACTCAAGGGTATCTGACCACAGGAGGTGCTGTATACTGCACGATGTAGCCGTAGGCCTGAGGCGCATACACCGGGGCCATCTCTACATCCGCTGACTTGGCGACTTTCCCATTACCCACAAACTTGTAAGCCAGCAGGCCCAGCACAGCCGCTCCGACGATTCCGCCAATGACGCCGCCTACAATGGCGCCGACGTTGAGACCTCCTGCGGGTGATGAGGATGAGGAGCTTGCTGAAGAGGCTGCTGAGCTGACTGGTGCTGCAAGCACAGCGAGCTGGCGCGGATCCGTCTTCCAGACAAACATCCTGGTGCTGGAGGACAGCAGAGCGGTCTTTTGTCCGTTGGAGTACAAGCCAGCGACCGTGTCGTTGAGGAACAGGTCTACCGAGGTAGGCGAGGAGGTCGAAACTATCAGCAAGGGCGGGCTGCTCCACACTGAGTCGAGGACGGACGGTCTGCTGATGATGGAATAAAAGTAAGCGGCACCGTCCGATACCGAGAGGCTCTGCTGTGGGACCGCCTGATCCCCGAGCATCTGACCGAGGGAGTCCAGCACAAACACGGGTGAGCCTGGCTCGAAGGGGTTCGGCGAGCTCGCGTTGATGGCGTTGGAGCTGTTGTGGGATGGAGACAAGATGGAGCTGTCTGAGGCAGGGTCGAAGCCGTCCATCTTGTCCTGGAAGTAAAGAGGGTCAGCTGAGAACCTCCAAGGTTGGTAGGTAGATGGGTAGGTGAGGATCGGCCTGATCAGCCTCTGAGTGAACTTGTTAGACAGGTCGACCTGCAAGAAGGTCTGCTCGATCAATGTGCGGTATGAGTACAAAGGGCCTGCGATGGACTGTCCTCGGGCTTCGTTCTCAAGGAAGTGATTGAGAATGAGCTTTAGAGCTGGCTCACTTGTCACCCTGCTACCTCCAGACAGCACATGAACCCCTGACAACGCAATGACCCCAGCAGCGTTCATTTCGTACACGGGCAGAGCTGCGAAGCCCGAATTGCCCGGCAGGTTTGACCTGAAGGAGAAGAGCCAGGAGAAGATGGCGTTGGGGATGTTGTAGGTCGTGTTGCTCACGTGCGCTGCAACAGCCGTTCCTCTCAGTCCGCGATCTGAAGCCTTGACGATTCCTAAGGCGGGCTGCCGGATTAAGATGATCTCCTCGTCGAGCTCTGCCCAGACATTCTGATAGCTCGAAAGCTGTTGGATCGAGCTGGGAAGGGTGATGGGGCCGAGCTGAGAGATGTATCTCAAGTGCTGGTCACGTCGAAACAGCGGCGTCACGGACGAGACTTGCGAAGAAGTGGCTGACACTGGAGCCTTCCATTCCACAAGCGCGTCAAACGCATGAGGGGCAGCCAAAGTGCCTTGCTGAGCGCGCTTGACTAGAAGCAGGTTGCCGTTGAGGTTCTCTATGGTCATTACTTCTTGGTCAATGATAAAGTTATCCCCTGCGCGAAATCCGGACGCGTCAAAGAGATTGATAGTGTTGACAGTCGAATCGATTGCGAGGGCAAGCTTCGACCTGGCGTAGCTCGTCTTTGACACCCGGATAAGCAGCAAGTTCTCATACATATCATGGAAATAGGAGTAATAACTATAACTATTCGGAGAAGGATTGTTGACTACATACTTGCCAGCAGTGATTTTCATGCGAATTTCATTTTCGGTCGATGAAATGATGTAACCTGTCCCGCCAGCCAATAGCCACGTGAATAATACACTGTCTCCTGGAGAGAGAGCTGTGCCGTTGGTCACATCAAATCTTTCGTACTTATAGAGAATCGCTGTGTCTTTCTCAAAATTGTATAGTTTTCCTACTGTGCTACGAGGTATGGTGTAGACTGTTACATTAAGGGAGTAGTTTCCGACGTACTCTACTTGAAACAACCCACTACTAGACGTACTCTTGTCAGCAATCCAGACAAAGTCTCCAGCTGAATAGAAATCAGAGACCATGGTCTGCAAGTTGATTGTATGGACAACTGAAGGATCGACCAGAAACGTTTGCTCTTCGAGACTCCAAGAAGTGCTTAAAACCCTCAGACCCTCCATCTTCACTATGTAAGAAAGGATAGCATTTTTCTGTTGCGAACACGAAGGGGAAGCACCTGGGACATAAAGGCTCTCAACCTTGATCTGACTTAACCCTGCATCGATAGCTGTCACGTTGTAAGCTGTGAGGCCATCTGACACGATGTCGCCAACAGCAAACTTGGAGATCCCTGTCATGTTCAACAGTGACCCATTGTTAGAAGTGCAATAAGGGGGACTGAAGTAAGCAGGCTGCGAAATGGTCTGGACAATTGCTCCTTTTGACACTGATGCTACCTGCGACCTGCCACCGTAGTCTGGGATCAATCCTCGAAGTACACTCCCATCAGACTGATACTCCATCACTTCAATATTTCCTTCATTTTGAGTTGGGAAAGCCCACAGAATATCTCCAGCTTGCAGACCAGTAGAGTTCGAGAAGACGGGGTTTGTAGCTGTCGGGCTTAGACTTTGTTGGAGGATGCGCGGACTTGATGAGAGCGTTATTGGGAATCCACGGCCAATCAATGTTGCAGTGGTCTGAAATTGAGCTCTTGCAACAGTCAGATTTTGATAAAGATATCCTGATATTCTGGCTGTCTCAACACTCAAGACCAACATCACCTCACTCGAAGAATAATAGAAGATAGACATTCCCAGCACATAGTCGCCGGGTTGAAAGCCCGTCGACGATGTATTCTGCACGGGGTCCCTCACAGATAGAATAGTGTCAGAAGCATAAACATTACTCAGGATGTTCATGGAGGATCTGGTGATGGATGGTACGATGCTGGTGCTGGTGGTGGTAACCGATATAACGTTTGCCGTGCCTTGCACAAGCTTCACCAAGACTTGCTTGGGATAAGCCGCAGCTGAGGTTGAAGCTTGAGCTCGCTTTACTGTCAAGGTGTCGCCTGAGACTGCAGTAATTGCCATGGCCTCGCTGAGCACCTTGATTGAGGCGCCGGTGTAGAAGAAACTCCCGTCAGACACGGAGAAAGTCGTCTGACTAGAGCTGATGGGCTCCAGTAGCACGATGGGATACTGCTGTGAAGGGCGAATGTAGCCCACGGGCTTGAAGGCGGCATGGCTGCTTGCAAGCGTTCCTTCCTGAGCTCGTAGGACGGTCAAAGACGCGGCATGCACGCTGGAGATGTACATGACCTCGTGCTCTATCTGGATGTATCTGTCCGAGATGAATCTTGATGCTTCCGATACTTGGATGGTCGTCGCGTCGTTTGCAATTTCTTTCAGCAGCACTGAGCCGGGATTGAAAGGGCGGACAACGGTTCCAAGAGCGAAGGAGGAGGTGATTGTTGTGTTCAGTGCTCCTCGGGTGACGGTGAGGGTGTTCTGCTGCTGGCTGACCCCGTTGACAAGCATCACTTCCTCAGCCAGTCTGATGTAATCTCCCACCTTGAACCCTCCTGCTGACACAACAACAAGTAGAGCTGAACTGGTTAGAGAGACGAGCGTGGTGACAGGGAAATTGCTGAAAGAGCCGTACACTGCATTGATGAAACCAGGTCGGAATAAATAGTTGACTTCAGTAACCTCGCCAGCATAATTCCGGACAGCGTTTTGTTTGTACGACAGGTCACCAGGCCAGTGCAAAGGGCCAGGCTGAAGGGCGTCAGAGCTGGGGCCAGCCGAGAAGTAGAGAAGAATCTCCGCGCAGGGATACGCCTGCCCAACGTCCGAGGGGAACTCAAGTCGGAGGGGATTGGGCGTGTTGGGAGAGAACCCGAAGCCTTGATTGAGCAAGACTGGCTGCTGTTGCCGTGCATCCCACCCGATGACAGCGAGCGCTTCGTCTGGCACTACAGAGGAGAGAGAAGCGTCAAGTACCGTCGAAAGGTAAGAAGGACAATTGTCAGGCGCACATGCATGGGAAGGACAAGGGAAGGTAATGCAACTGCCACACTGTGATGACATCGAGCAGGAAGGCAGTGGGTTCAGCTCCGCTTGCGAGTACGAGCTCGTGCAAAGCTGGGAGTCTGGGCAAAGTGACTTGACGACAAACGATCCGCTGCTGCACGTCGGCTTCTCCTTTGCACTTCCCTGGTTAGCTTCGGGGAGGGAAATGTTTCTAATTAATTCCACCCTCGATGCAACCAGCCCGTTCCTCGGGAAGGCGCGAACTATGGGGGTAGGGCAGGTAGGCAACAAACCCAATGATGAGACTATGCGAATGCTCGGAGGCTTCAGGTACCCAGATCCAGCATTGATGACCTTGAGCAGGTACGTGTATGTGGCATTCTCAGCTGTAAACCCCTTGCTAGCTGCTGTCAAGCTTGCCGATGGTCTGTTGGTGTAGGGGTCGTAAGAGGTGTCGTGATAGTCAAGGTTGACCTCGGCCTGCACCCCCACCCTGGGCGGAGGTTCCACGATAACTTTGGGGACCTCGCAGAGAGACGAGAAGGAGAACGTAGCGTTTGCGGTAAGCTTGAAGATCAGTGAACCCTTCGCGCCTTGGAAGCCCTGGCCACGTCTCACAGTGTACACATTCTTCGTTGAGAAGGCAGACAGACCGTTCGACACTCGCATCTGCAGCGTCTTGCGCGTCCGGTAGTCACCAGCAGCAGCAGCCGGCGAGCAGATTTGCATTCCGTTTCCATTGTTGGGGGAGAAGAAGGCGTTGGCGTACACTTGCCGCTGACAGCCTCCTGCGCATCCCTGGCTCACCGTAGCGTCGACGATCAAATCAGAGGCTGTGCAGACGTCATTTGCGATGGAGATTGCGGTTTTGTCTTTGCACTGGCTGGTTGAACATCCGCTGCAGCTGAAGGTTGCTGCAGGAGCCGTCTCATATCCGTAGCCCTCCCGCGTTAGCAGCACTCCATCTAGCGTCAGGCCTATGGGCCCTGTTGAAGTGCCAGAGGATCTGACGAATATCGAGAAGACGTTGTACCCCTGGTATGCAGTATTGAATGCGAAGTAGGAGGGCCGGCAGGTGGTCTGCTGGCTGCTCGAGAGGTCAGCGAAGTCCTTGGAGTAGCTCTTGGTGGAGCCTCCGACGTTGAAGGCAATGTCTACGACTATCGGGATGTTGGCGTACCCCTGTCCCTGCTGTACGATCACATAGCTGGGGAGGCTGGAGCCTGTGGGTTGAAGGAGTTGAAGTTTCAGGGTCTTCCCTCCTAGACGTTGTGGAGAGTTGAAGATGAGGACGGCCTGATGGCAGCTTGTCAGGTCTACATAGGAGCTCGGGCCATCGTACAAGATCACTCCATTCACACCTTTGCCATTCTTTGACCCGATGCCAGGCAATGGCTGCACCACCCCCTCCACTCCGTTGGCAAGCACTGATCCTGAGGCAGGAAAGGACCAGGTGGGGACAGCGAGAGCGTCTGCTGCAGGGTCAACCAGCCCGTGGGCGTTGACAGGAGAAGGACTGATGGTGACAGATGTGAAGCCGAAGGCAAACCCAGCAAGGTCGACGCTACTGGGGAGGCTGACGCCAGTCACTCGCGAGTTGTTCCATCCGCTGCCTGCCCTGGAGTAGGTCTGCGTGACTCCGTTGCTGCAGGCTTTGTTGAAACCAACCACCACCGGCGAGTCCATGGAATTCTGAAAGGCTGGTGCTGACGTGGCAGCTGAGAGAAGGACAGGTTGTAGCCCCGTATAAGAAGAATTCACTCGAGTTCCAGCCATATGAACATCTGCAGTAGTGAAGCCGAGGATAGCGCGGGCAGCTCCTTGCTTGCAAGCGAAGCTGACAGCAGGAGGATACTCGTAGCCGTAGCCTCCATCGATCACCTGAATGGAAGAGAGGTCTCCTGCAGCTGCTGTCTGAGCCTTTGCTGTCCTGCCTGAAGGCGGAGCCTCGATTTCTATAGGGCCAGCACAGGAGACAGGAGGAAGAGACGTGATGATGATGGCAGCGACGTATCCTGTGCCGATCTCTGCATTCAGCGTCCTCGCGTCATGCTTCTTGTGGAGGGATACCGGGGAGAACACATCAGAGTGCAAGCCAGTGAGCGAGTCATACTGGTCTCTTTGACTCCGATACATCATCAAGCTTGAGTCCGGCGACACCCGCAGTCGAGCAGTGTAGTTGTGCGACAGGTGAGCAACGGCAAAAGCGTCGCAAGGAGTGTTGGAGTCCGAGTTCTCAAACCTCACTGTAGGCGCAAAGAAGTATCCACTGCCGCTGTTTGTCAGTGATACGCCCGTGATGGAGCCTCCATTAACCGTCGCAACAGCCGTTGCCTGAGTGCACAGGCTGAAGTCATCAGGACAGACGGGGGAGTTGGTCAAGGCGTCTGTCACCGCATACTTAGCTGGGCTGGAGATAATAACAATGATGTTGGAGCTGCAACTCGTTCCCGGTGTCACGATTTCGATCCATTCGATGCCCGTGCTTTGCCCCTTGAGCATGAAAACACCGTTCAAAGTTCTGCTGGAGAGACAGGTGCCTTTGAACCAGGCGGGTCTGAGATATCCAGATCCCCACGTCGAGGGAGGAAGGAAAACTGGCTTGTTGGCTCCTACGCTAGTCATGGTTTGCGCCAGGTTGACAGTCAGGCCATCAGATGTCTGAGGGGCCTCGATATCACTTCCCGGGATGGTACAGCTGTCGCCGCTTGAGATGGCCCCCCCGAAAATAAACATTCTTGTCGTCGGTGCTCCTGCCATACCAACGTTGCCAACACTGATAGGAGACGCCAACTGAAACCTCGTCCTCTCCTTGATGGTCTTGGAGGCGTCGTCCGTAGCGCGAGTGACGAACGCGTTGGTATCGCTAGGGATGGACCTGAACCTGTAGCTGGGGATGCTTATGCTGATGCTCTCGCCCTGCCTGATCCACTTCCCCTTTGCCACCTGCAGCTGCAGCTGCGTGTAGATGGTGTAGGGCTTGTTCGCCAGGTCGATGTTTCTAGGCTTGTTGCCTTGGAGGTCTGTCACCCAGTAGACGCCGCCAGCTCCCTGCTTGATGACGTACTCGTTGGATCCGATCATCGCTGTCATGCCGGTGTATCGACCGACCTGCTCCTTGGGCATGACCTGACAATCACTCAGGAACGACGTTGGGAACTCTTCCGCCACCACGAAGCATTTGTTCGCCTGACTGTAGTCGAGGATAGACTGGGTGATGACCGTACCGGTGACGTTGGTCAACGACACATCAAATATGGGAAGCTCCAGCTGCTGGACTGTGGAGGGCAGAGCAACATTTGGCTTGAGCGTAGTTGTCACCGTTGGAATTGTAGTGTAACCGCTTCCCTGAGAGGACAGGCTGGCGCTCGACACGCTGAGAAGCACTTGAAGCTGCGTGTCCTTGCCAGTGACCGTCGCATACGGGAACCCTGAGTACAAGCCGGGAGACGTCACTTGCACAGCTGGACTGCTGCTGTAGAGGGATGAGACGGATGCTGCGGCAGGCGACACTTGGTAAGTCGAATCAAACACGATCATGTCACCATCTGTCAAGGAGCTGCCTGACATGTACTGAACTCCAACCACATGGTACATCAGCGACCCCCTGGCTTGACTAGCTGCACTGACAGCTGCTGCCACAAACGTTGGTGCTGCCGCAGAGATCCCTGAAGTCTCTGTGTACCTCCCGCTAACGACCGTTAGCCCCCCATGTCGCACTCGCACGCTTGTGACTTGACCTCCATCGGTCGCAGTGTGCTGATTGTTGCGGCACTTGAGCTGCATGCCGACGTAGTGAGAGTCGTGGGGCAGGTTGAAGCTGCTGTTCTTGTAGCAAATGTCTTGTGTGTACCCAAGAGAAGAGGCTGCCGTGCTCTGAACCTTGATCAGAGACAGAGTGCTCAAAGAGCTCCCGAAGGTGACGTCGCTATCCGGCAGGCCCCACGGGCAGGACACGCGGCTCCAGCACAAGTCCTTGTTCTTGTTGTAGCCCTCGTCATCGGGCGACAACACAAACAAACCGTCTACATCTCCATCTCCTGACCGATGTCTGTTCCCGTCCGCTGCCCAACCGTTGCTGACGTATGCTCGCGCTCGATCTTTCTCATTGTAATTCAGCTCCCACTCGAGCTGAGTTGAGAAGGTCGAAAATGCTGGGTTGGGGGAGGAGGTCACACCAAAGATCGGGCCAGTGATGACATCATAAGCAGGCAGATTGACAAGGAGCATGTCGCCCTCGTAGAGGTTGAGTTGCGGAGTGACAGTGAAGACAACCTCTGAGCTGTTGTGCTCTTGAAATTTGAGGCTTGACTTGGATAGCGCAAGCTTCCCGCTGTCTAGAGCGGAGGATACAAACGACTGTGCCGTGACCGTGAAACCTTCAACACTGGAAGGAGTGATCTGATTCTCAAGCTGCAGCTGCACCGTGAAGATTGACAGGTCGTATACAAAGGCTCTTGCTAAAGCACCGCTGCCTGACCCTGTGGGATCCACTATGAAAACACGAGGAGAAATAGTGTAGCCTGAACCAGACGCTGTGAGATTGATGGAGGACACAGTACCAGACAAGACCGTCGCTTTTGCTCGAGCTGAGGTACCAGCAGCAAACACTACTCCTGCATCTGTGCAGGTCGTCTTGGACCAGAACTCTTCACCAGGCGTGACGTCGCAGATGATCACGATAGCAGCTTTGTACTGAGAGCCCCCCGCAATCACCTCCACCTTGTACAGACCCTTCGATCGGCGAGCGCTCACATCGAAATACGGATCGTAAACAAGATTTGAGGAGGGTGCTGATCCTCCTGTGTAAGATATCTGAATCTTGCTGTCGATAAACTTGCAAACACTCTCGAACGTTGCGGGAGCAAAGATTCCCTTGTTACTGTGCTGACTGGTGATAGAGTTGATAACCTGGCCATTGCGAACTATCGTACATGGCACTTCCGATGAGCCCGCATTCGTCATGCTCAACAATGAGCCAACGGTGATAGTCTGGCCAGGCATGAGAGGGTAGTTGGGCTGCAGCTCCATGGTCACCCATACCGTACTTGCAGTCACGTTCGACCCTGACCGCATGTTGGACGAGATGAACTTGCGATCTGAGACGTAACCAGCACATCCCGAGGGCTCGGAGGGGTAGCCCCTAACCTTTCTGCTCACATCGTTGTTGCACAGGTACGTCTGCGACCCTTTGAACGCTTCTGGTGCAGACTGCGAATCGACAATCAATGATACTTGAGGACAGCTTGGATGACTCGTAACGGAGTTTGTGAGCCTGAAACAAAACTTGTACTTGACACTCTCTTGAAGAGATTGCGATGGACCCAGCTGGAACCGTATCGTCGATTGATCGTAGGTGGCATAGTTGCTCTGCGGGTTTGCTCCAACCGTCTGGAACAATCCCCCGGTAAGCGGCGCGGTAGCATACTCATCATACAGAGCAATGTTCGAGCTCGAGGAGAACATGCTCAACCCTGTGAGGGTGAAGGTGGTAGGGGCAGTGATAGTCTTACTTGATGTCAAGGTGATGCAAACAGGATTGACAGCACCAGGAGCAGGGTTCAGCTGTCCGATGTTGTACTTGTTGAGAAGATTTCTTGTCATGTGAAGAGCATGAAAGTCTGAGCTCATCGGCGGAGTCATTAATTGTGGGTTAGTCCTCTTGTCTGGAGCGAATTGAGATGAAATGGACACTGCAGGACTGGTTTGCTCTGCTGCTCCATTCTTAAAAGTGTAACGCCATATGTATGTCCATCCCGCATAAATACAGTTAGAAGGCTGGCCCTTGACTGGCAGCTGGCAGATCCCTTTAGCAAGATAGACTACAAGCGTTCCTTGGCTCCGATCCCAAGTCGTCTTCTCAATATTCGGAAAGTATTGGTCTGAAACTGAGGTAGCCAACAAAGATGTACCTGGAGTGTCCGTGCCTTGTAGTCCAACGATGGTGATCTGAGAGCTGTAGAAGCTACTCAACATGTTCATGTTAGACCTCAGAGTGATTGTGATGATGTTGCTCTGTTGCACGACCGGAGACGACTGCGCGATGACTCTGGTTGGAAAGTTGTAATCGTAAGTCTTGAGCACACACACGTCCCCATCCATTTCGCCATCTTCCAAGGCTCTCTCGAGAGCGTTCTGAACCATTGTAACGGTCTGTGTAACCAGATGGTTCCCTGGTCCACGAGCAGAGAGGCTCAGAGACACGGACTGGCAGGAGTTTGGACCCTTGGGGTTCTTCAAGACCAGCGCGAACACAACATCCTGCTGCTGAGGGATAGAGAAGTAAACATTGCCAGCCTCATCATCCTCGTTAACGGTCAAGACTGCTGATCCTGCTGACCAGCTGGTGGTTCGATGCAGCGTCCCTCCTACGATCTTGTCCACGAAATGAGCAGTTGGAGGGTCAGACACAGGACGCAGCTGGAACAAGTTCCAGTCGAAGGTCGGACATGCGCTGATGATTGGCGCCATGGCTGTCTGGGAGCCATGCAACCCTGAGATTGTAATCTGAGCCACAGAGTTCTGACCTTGTGCAATGGGCTGCGTGGAGATACGGAAGTTGCTTCTGAGCGTCACACAGATGTAGTTGGTCGTATCCGGGCGAGTAGTAGCCTGTCCGATCTTGTACTTGATAAACCCTGGACTTGCCACGTTGCCAACAGTGTTTCCGATGTTCTCCACTACTTCAGCATTCACAACTCCTCCCTTCTGCACAGTCAACGTCAAGGAGCAGGCCGAGTTTGCTGAGAACAAATTTTGCCATGACCAGGATAGAACATAGATACCCCGAGCATCGAGGCCGAGGCTGTTATCTAGAGTCAGCTTGAGGGGTCTTCCAATGCTCCAATCTAACCTAGCACTGGGCCAGTAGTCTGCCAGGTCGACTTCCTTAGGGTTTCCAGTACACTTGTCGGTCAACGAGGTTCCACCGTTGAGCCTGTTGCTCATCAGAGTCACGTAAGGAGTGTTGGTTTGTGTACCGCAGACACCTTGAAAGCTGATCACCGACCCAACCTCTACATTGAAGTTGGGTCGCAGGGTTACAAACATATTGGTCATAGAGCCAGGATCGCTGGAACTTTGAAACATGGACGCTCTCAACCTGTTGCCGACTACCTCCAAGATCTTGGACGAGGAGTCAAACTTCTTAGGAGGGATGGTAACCGTCATAGAGCTCGACGACGTGCAAAAGTCATTCCCCAAACAGCGTTGACCAGACAATGAAACCTTCAAGTCTCGAGTGGTCTGTTGGTTCCCACCAGTATTCAGACTGAAAGAAAAAGTCACAAACTCCCCAGCTTGAATGTAATGTCCCGGAATGAGCTGCAGCGTCAAGGCCCCGTCGGCATTAAAATCTGCCTGACCAACAGACTTGGTGCTTGTGGAAGATCGAAACCTCTTGGGTATCAGTTCCTGTGCCGTGCTCGATCCCTCGCACTGACACTTGTTCTGGAAGAGCTGAATGTACTGACTCGGCGAGGAGCTTCCCGTCAAGCCGGTCAAGGTAATCGTGGTCGGGTTGGAAGCGACGGAGTAGATGGTAGAGGAGCTGACTAACGTGACAGTGATACAAACGGCTTGATTTGGCCCATCGTTGTTTCCAGACGCTGCGGCATACACAAAAGATGGAGGCGCTACCGTGCCTACGCCTCCGGCTTCCTTTCGTGTGGGGATAGGAGGGAGGTCCGTACCAAACCTGACGGAGCGATACTGATCGAAGGGAACTTGATAAACCAGGAAATCGCTTGTACATGGTGTCGACGGGAAGTCGCTGATGGAGCTCACGGCACAGCTTCTCACAGAGCCAGAGGCCTGATAGATGGCAACATGCGCCAACTGATACCACTGCTCGTCAATCCCTCCTATCGGTGGCAAGGGACCGAGACCATTCTGCTTGCCCTGAGCCTCATAGTTCTGATACATGGAGACCTTGCTGATGTAGACACCAGTGATGGGCTGCGATGAAGACATGAGCAGGCGGAGCGTCTCTTTCTGTGAGTCCCAGTGGCACATGGAGAAGGAGTTTGCACGTATCTGTTTGAGATCGAAAGCATTGGACGAGAGGTCTTGTGTTATTCCGAAGCATCCCCCGGCCCCAGGACCATTTCCGGACGCGGCTTGGTTGAAAACAGGAGAAGGAACGCTCGCCCACGTCTTGGATAGGCTTTCAGATATGGTAAGGACTTGACTCTGCTTCATCCACTGGACATTGGCTTCGGCACTGCCAGACCTGTAAGCACCGAAGAGGTTCGATCCTCCTGAAAACCGCGGGAGGTAGACTTCGATGACAGTGTTGGATGTCAGAATGTCATTCTCCTCACTCCAAGCTCCCAGGGACCCCCAGTAGATCTTGATGTCGGTTGCTTTCAGATCGGCGATGCCTCCTTCCAGGTGCAACTGAGCCGTCTCAGCGACTGTGTACTTCATCCCATGTAGAGTGGACACAGCAGCAAGCGAAGCCTTGCTCATAATGGCCAGTAGAACCATCACTACCTGTCGAACTGTTACACACACGCATACCATCACGTCCTCTCAACAACCTGCTGCCCAATTGCCATGGCGGCGGAAAGTCCTACACTAGTGGTACCCCTGGTCACCCCCTGTTCACCGGAATACCTTTTTCAATTTTACAGAGGAGAAAAAAAGTCAGTCTGACTTCCCAAACCACAAGCCACGGGTACTCTTCCCGTACCAGACCACAAGCCACGGGTAAGAGTCCACAAGCCAGGGGTACTCGACAAGCCAGGGGTACTCGACAAGCCAGGGGTACTCGACAAGTTTAACGCCGCCCGTTAAAACCCTGCGTTTCCCGAATAATGGCTCAATCGAAAAAAAAGTGATGTGATTACTAGACCACAAGCCACGGGTACTCCCCCATTACCAGACCACAAGCCACGGGTACTCTTCCCTTACCGGGGGCCACAAGCCACGGGTACTCTTCCCTTACCAGACCACAAGCCACGGGTAAGAGTCCACAAGCCAGGGGTACTCGACAAGCCAGGGGTACTCGACAAGCCAGGGGTACTCGACAAGTTTAACGCCTCCCGTTAAAACCCTGCGTTTCCCGAATAATGGCTCAATCGAAAAAAAAAGTGATGTGATTACTAGACCACAAGCCACGGGTACTCTTCCCTTACCAGACTACAAGCCACGGGTACTCTTCCCTTACCGGGGGCCACAAGCCACGGGTACTCTTCCCTTACCGGGGGCTGGCTTGTGGCCCAATTTGGGTAGAGCACTCTGCTTCCAGATTTTCTCGTACAAATATACTATATTAATGGCTCAATCGAAAAAAAAAGTGATGTGATTACCAGACCACAAGCCACGGGTACTCTTCCCTTACCAGACTACAAGCCACGGGTACTCTTCCCTTACCAGACCATAAGCCAGGGGTACTCGAGTTAGACCAGGGGTACTCTGGTCAAGTCCAGTATACTGTAGGTATTCAGCGCCGCCGCCATGGTACATGGGCAGCAGGTTGTTGGCTTGCTCTTCGAAGGTTGTGTTTTTCCTCTTCCTCTTGCTCCTCCCTCCTGCCCCCCCTCCTCCTCCTCCTCCTCCTCCTCCGAACCGGGAAGGAAGGAAGGCAGGGAGGCAAGTCAACACACTTCTCGAGAAGCACTTGTAGGAAGTTTTCCTAACAAAGAGGAATAGTAGGAGGAAAAGGAGGAATGGGAGGAATAGCCTGGAGGAGGAGGAGGAGGATGGCGTCGCCGTCGTGCTTGTACGCGTCCACTGTAACTTTTGTGTACACAGAAAAACGACTACAAGAACCCGCGTGAAGTGATCCCGTCAAGAAAACAACGAACAAGTGTGCGAAAGCTATGCACAATCCCAGCGTGCTTTAATCCAAATATGTCGTTAGAAAAATAAGGAAATAAGCAAACTAAAATGTAAGAAGATGCATCCGCCTAGGACAAGTATTTATCGAAAGCAAAAGTCAGTAATGTTTCCTATCATTTCGCTCCCAAGCGCTGCTAGATGAGAACACCTTTTCTCATCTCAAACTTCGCTGCAAATGACAATTAAGAATTGGCACCAGACAGGTTAAAATCACGGATCATTTTCTTGAAAACTGTATTCTTCATATGCTGAAAACGCGGTGTAAACTCCAAACGCACAGCATTATCTGAAATTTTCTCCTGCCAGTATCTTGAAAGGACCAACGAAAGGAATTTTCATCTTACCCATCGCCTCGTGCAATTTCTGAAATCACGTGTAGACAACATGACAAAGTTTCCAATGTTGAATTGAAAATCCTTTCTTGATTTCTTCACAAACTTCTCTTTCTGAATTGCTGACAAAGTCAATGGGTCTCTTGCCAAATCGACCAATGCTATAATCTTGTCACGCCGGAACCTCCTCGACATCTTCAGCAGTGACGATCATCGGGTGTGAGATCCAACACGGTACGAATGTCACGACCATAGATTACCTCGAACGGTGTAAGATTAGCGGCAATTCCAAATCCTCTCCAGATGCACGATGTAGTCATCCCAAGACTTGCTAACATGTTGCAAACACAAGATCCTCAATGCTTCGACAATCACACTGATAAATTTCTCGACTCTCGACTTTGAGACTTTGGATGATAAACACTGCTGTGTCGCACATCAATGCCCATCAAGGTAAACTAGCTCCGTCCAAAACCAAACTCCCAGTATCAGACACCAACGTCTTACAGAGATGCCTTGTGCCCGATAGACAGTCTTGTTACGAAGCGGTTACGGAGTTCTTGCCGTTGTTCTTCTTGTAGCTTTCAAACTTTCAACGGCGAGATTTCAAACTCGTTCCCCGCGGCGGTGAGGCAGAGGTAGAGACACACAATGAGGCACTAAGAGACATACAATGAGTGGAATTCTGGACTTGACACCTAGGACAACAGCGAGTCGGAGCACGGGTGGGACGCCCGGCCGCCTTTCCCAGACGAGAGATGTGCTTAAGAGATTGTTGATATCGAGTTTTAGTCTCGTAAGCAATGCGATCACGAAGAGGAAGAAGAAGGAGCAATTGGCATCTACGGACAGAGCTCGTTCTGCGACGGCAGACGTGCTCGGGGAAGGGGCAATTGGAAGGAGTCGAGACGTCGATTCCGTTCCAAGGCCGTCATATGATCCTCAGGATTTTGAGATCAGGGAGGAATCAACGAGCTCTATTGCAGCTGATGACATTGTTCAACACGGCTGCAGAGCGAACTTGCTGAAAGTCAGGCTAAGATCATGCAGCTGCAGGAGATTGTGGCTGCTTTGAAGGGTCAATGCCAGACGCCAAGTGGGGAAGGACAGGAGAATCGTCATCCATGTTCAACAGGACCGGCGGAACCGAAGAAAGTCAAGAGGCTTTTTGATTCGCGCAACGCGAGGAAATTCAATGGTGAGATGGAAGTGGAGTTCTCGGTGGTCACCTGGTTGGCGACGTTGGAGTTCCAGCTGATGTCTCAGGCGATTCCACAGGAGCAGTGGGTCAGCTCTGCCCAAGGCCTCATGGGTGAGAATGTGACCAACTGGATTACCTCTTCCTGCTGGAATGCGAACATGAATAGACAGGAGAAGATGAAGTGGGAGGCACTGAATACAGGACGGATGTCATGGGATGACTTTACCAAACTCATGAGAAAGAAGTGGTTGTCTCCAGATTTTCCGATCCGGCTGATGACTGTATTGCGGGATATGAAGCAAGGCCCGAAAGAGTCAATCTCCAACTTCATTCAGAGATATTCGGCGATGACAAATCGGCTTGTTGCTTGTGCTCCGGATAAGGTTTCATTCGGCAACTTCGTCATCAAACAGATATTCGTGAACAATGTGTCCTCAAAAACTGTTAAATCGCGGCTGATTGAACTGTTGTCAGAACTTCGGGAAGCGGCAAGGGAATACGCACAGGAGGCGGGCTAGGAGTACATGGTACCGGTGGCTTGCTACCTGCCCAAGCTGTTCGAGAAGGCAGTTTCTGCGGCTCCGTGCGAAGTCGACACGGCTGCGACAGTGGCACTTCGAGCTGTTCGATCCGGTAAGGAAGACAGGAACTCTAAGCCAGCAAAGGAGAGGAAGCGGCTCAGGTGTTTCGAGTGCGGAGAAGAAGGGCACATACGTGCTAAGTGTCCGAAACTGACAAACGCTCAGCCTTTAAACGAGGATCGTCGCCTAGCGAAGGGGAGACCCTAGGCGACGCCAACCCTTAACGCTGCGTGCGCTACAGGATACAGGGGCGGACGAGAACTTCATCGATGAGCAGGTGGCTCGGAGGATTGGCTCTGGTCGGACTCAAGTGCGCAGCTCGAGTCAGACGAACCCATCGCGGTGGAGATGGCGACTGGTGTTGGTGAGATACCAAAAGGATCGGTGACACTTAAGTTTGCTTTGGAACCACGATTCCAGAGTAAGGCAAGGCCAATCGCGCTGACGGACTATCCACCCCTCCTTGTACTTCACGATAAAATCTACTATAGAGGAGGTGGGGTGAGCGGCGGGAAGGTGGGTGGTAGCCGTGGCCACTCTACGTTCAGTAACTTTACGAGGCTACTGATTAAAAGTCATCACACTGACAAGGAAAATTAGTTCAACTCCAACCACACAAGGAATACAGCAAGTATCTGATCATAGTCTGTCTCTCCTTCAACTCGTTTAAATGATCTCGTATTGACACATGGACTAGTGTACAAGCGCTACTTGAAGCTACCAGGAATCCTCCAGTCCTTCACCACTATGTGATGGGGACTCGATCGAGCAGCAGCGATCGCTTCGTTGATTCTTCGCTCTCGATTGGCTTTCACGGTCAGGGAGGCCTTGGGGTGTGTCAGACCCTCTGGGTACGAGCAAGCAACCAACCTTAGCCACGTGGAATCGATCCGGCAGCTTGAGGTAGCATCGCTCCAGGCCTCGAAGTATCCTCAGCTCCAGCCACACGTCGCCCACCATGTTGACGCGTGTGTGAGCGTCCGTGAGCGACGCCAGCGCCTTCCGCTCGTCAGACACGCCAACAACAATGGCGTCTCACCGCAGTCGCTTGGTCGAGCATCAACAGCGCGTCTCCTCGAAGCGCTAAGATCTTAATCTGTAGCTGAAAGTCGGAGTTGTCCTCTACCACGCACTCGCTCGCCTTCTGCAGGAGGTCGATGGCCTGCATCCAGTCAGACTCGTGAATTCTCCTTGCAATCCAACCCCCTCGATGCTCTCCTGGTCAAGAGAAGTCGAACCCTTGAGCATGTGCTTGGCTTTCAAGAACAAGATGGTCGCCCTCGCCCAGCTCAAGCAACTTTGATCCGACAAGAGCTTCTCTGCCTTGGAAACAAATTTCTCTCCCTCCCTCGCCACAGTCTCTTCCAGCATCTGCGCGACCTCAGCAGGTCAACTAGAGGACGAGTTGGCTCACCTCCTGGTTCCCTTGATTCGGAAGGACATCCGAACCATCAAGGAGGACGAGAGCTTCCAGCAACAGAATGCTGACGGTCGTGGGGCTCCTGCTGGACAGAAGCTCAGCTTCGCGAAGATGCGCTAGGGCACCTGAACACCAGCAGTGAGTGTGTTCGTCTCGTGTGCAACTATCTTACTGCTCATTTCACCCATGCGAACGAGATAATTCGCAATAGAACAATGAATAGAAATTATCAGCAGCTGTTTCTGGCTATCTGAGGCAAGGAAAGAAGCCATGTTCTCCACCTGACCCACGTCAAGCAGCCATCACAAAGAACCATAGCAAATCTCACAAGCTTGAGAGCGTCGATCATGGCAGAAAGCTTCTCTACAGCTCCATTGTACGATGAGCGGCACAGGCATCTACTTCAACAGTCAGAGTCTCACACAGTAGATCTTTTCGCTCATCACAGGGCACTGCTTCGCTCCAGCAGGAGAATGTTCAGCAAGGCGTTTTCCAAGACCATCGGGGGGCTTGCAGCCATCTCATCCACCTTGCGCGAGTGCTCCATCATCTCAAAGCCATCCTTCAGCACCTCTTCGGCTTTCAAAAGCGCATCTTTCTTGTCTGTGCTTGCAGTAGAGTCTGAACTCTGAAGTACCTCATGGATGTGAATGGCAGGCAACATCTGCGACCGGAAGAAATTGAGAAGAACGTCGAGCGACGAATCTGAGTGCCACCAGAAGAACTGCAGGTGACTATGTCGAGGTACAGAAAGATTCTTGCTTGAGTTCTGCAAGCTTTCAACATGACTGGAGGGAGTAGTCAACAACCTCAAAGTCTCGAAGAAAGGTCTGAGCTCCGCTGGAAGCTCTTGCTTGCCTTTTGAGCCCTCCAAGATGGCGTCGACACTGCTCACGTGCTCCCTTGCCTCTTGCACCATTCCAGCTTGTAGCTTGCTGTGTGCTAGCAACATGTAGCAAACGATTTCAAATTCAGATCTACGAGGCAAGATCGCGTCCTTCAGCAGCTCCATGCACGAGCGAATCTCAGCGTGAGCAGGTTCGAAGTCTCCTGTGCTGGCGTGCAGCTGATACGAAACAAGGTGAATCCATGGCCTGTACTCCAAGATCTTGATGTCCTCTACTATCTTCTTAGCCGCGGTCAATTCTCGCCATGCCTTATCCATGCTCTTGCCGATTCTGGCATGCACACAAGCTAAGCGGAGATGTAAGACTACACAGATTGCGTGGGATTTCGAAGATCCACCAGTCCTTTCAAGCAGCCTGAGAGCTTCATGCATTCGACTGATCGCCGACTCATGATTGAATGTGTAGAAGCTGTATAGGTCGGTGAGCCTCAGACGGATCTTGACTCCTTCCATTGGCGACAGAGTGGAGTAAAGCTTCCCCCCTTCGAGAAACATGATGGCATAGGCAATCGCTCCACTTCTCTCCATCTGAACAGATGCTGACAACATGCTCTCTGCACTCATAGCTCCTGTCTTTCCGATCTTGGATGATTTGCTTGCATGGCTCGGTGTCATTCCTTGTGATTTTACACCCTGCCTGGACGTTTCCGCCAGAGACAGGTGCATTTTTTGATTCTCCGCAGGCATGTCCATAGGTGCCGAGTTTAGATGTCCTGCTCGGGCGGCAACAGGAGCACTTGCTCCCATCCTCACGTCAACCTTGGGACCCGCGAGCGACTGTTGGGTTGTTGAAGATCCAACCATTTGACCAGCCTGCGCTTCAATTGAAATGACTTTTCTCTTCTTGTTCTTTTTGCTCGGATCAGACTGATGTGATGGAATCGCTGAATTGATCGCATCGTTGGAATATACTTCCATCTGCTGAAGGTTTCTTCTGGGCTGAGTGTTCGACGTGCCAGGATAAGTAGCCAAGTCCGAGGAGATTTCAGGAAATCCTTTCGGGCCAGCCGCAATCGAGATAGGTACTTGCGAATAACTTCTATCTCTAGTTTGATCATAGCATTCCCTTCCTTGAAATGTAGGTTGGACTGTCCCCTCTCCATTACTTTGGAAAGAAGTAAGGGGTTGGTCAGATGGAGCATGGTACATTTGAGGTGCGGCAGACAACATGGACGAATACTTGGCTCTTTTCTGGGAGGCGATATCTTGTGAGACTTGGGAATTCTTATATCCGTGGGATGTCGGCGTGACTCCAGGTTGGATGAAGCCTTCTTGGAAGCAGTCCACGAATCTCCCCATCGCTGGAGCATTCTGTTGCAGAGTTTCGGGAGGGAAATTACCCTGAATCGCACGATCACTTTGCTTTGAGGGTGCCGTAGGGTTCTTAGTGGTCGAGACGTTTGGATTCGCGATCGAGGACACTCGCCCTGTCATCGAAGGTTGAGTGCTTTGAGGGGTTTGAATCCGATTAGCATAGCTCGATGCTGCTGGATTGTTCGGCATCAGATAGGCTGCACCTGCTTCTCTTCCAGTGCTGCCTTGAACGAAACCTCGAGACATTGAGGTGTCTGCGGAACTCGCCGCCATGAGCCCTCCCCGCACCTTGATGGAGCTTGCCGTACCCTGTGCTGTTTGTTGCGAAGGTCTCATGCCAGGGGCTTCGTGGGGTGCCTGGCTGTGATTCACTGCGATGTACCCCGCATATGCTTGTCCATATCCAGAGCTCATCGGCGCACTACTCATGCCGCTCATGCCGCTTGATGTGAACATTCCTCCCTGGTGCTGCTGTAAGAGGCGCCTGTCGGTCTCACCCAACCCATTCATGGCGTAAGAGCCCGAGGGATACATCGAGCTCACGCTTGTCCCCATGGAAGGGCCGGACACTCCTCGAGCCATTTGGTCGTAGTAGCCTGACATGTACGGAGGAACGGGATTTGCTGACGGGTTGTTGGGAGGCCTCGAAGCAAGAAGGTACTGCTGGGAAGCATAAGCTGAGAGATGTGGGTCTGTCGGATCGCTGGGATAGAGACCTTGCGCTCCCAGCTCATCCCACATGATCCAAGAGCTTGAGACCTACGTGCAAGAAGACATGAGACAGAATCTCGTACACTCTCATCCGATCTATATCAACTTCTTGCAAGCTGCTTCAACCGTTCAAAGTCGCATCAGCTTTCTTCACAAACCATGCGCTACACTGATTCTTTTCCATGATTGAGATCAGTTCACAGATCGTCTCCCTCGTACCATCAGCTCTATCACCTGATCGTACAACATCCTGCCCTTGACTCACCTCACCTCACTACTCCTCACACAAACTTGATCTCTCCTCCACCCTCGTCTCGTCTCTTCGCATCTCTTCGCATCTCTTGCTCTTCTCGTCTGCTAGTCTGGTCGCCTCCTCTCCTCTTCCTGTTCCTCGCCCTCCGTCTCCCGCCATTTTCCTTCATCCACTTACTAAGACCAGGTCCTAGTACTCTAGGGTACCCTACCACGGGATGCATCCTTATAGTCAATGCTCTTCTTAAATTGAAAGCATCATAGTCAACATTACATTACTGCTTGTGAAGCTTTATAGTCAAGATATTGAAATTCAATGTAAATTTTATAGTCAATTCTAATTGGTGTTATAGTCAAACAGCATCGGAGGCATGCAGGGAGGCCGCGAGCTGATGGCGCTGGTGATGGCGGCGCTGGTGATGGCGGCGATGGCAGAGGAGGAGCAGAAGAGAGAGAACCTTGAGAGAAGCTGGATGGCAGGGGATGGGATGATGGTCGGCGTGATCGTGTCGGTGGTGGTAGGAGGCCTAGGAGGATGGTTCTTGCTCCGAGGTGGGGGTAAGAAGAAGCTCAAGGGCGATGCTGTTTTCCTTGTTGGAGCGTGCGATGCTGGCAAGACAGTCCTCGTACAGAGACTGAGAGAAGAGGGAGGGGAGAAGGGAGTGAGACCGACACACACATCGATGATGCTCAACGAATGTACGATCCAGCTTGAGGGAGAGGACAAGGGCAGGGCAGTGCGAGTGATCGACTTCCCTGGGCATGGAAGGTTACGTCCCATGCTGTTCGACATGCTCGAGGACTGTGCGGTCCTCATCTTTGTGATTGATGCCACCACCTTCCACCTACAAGGTAGCTGAGACGGACCGGTTACTGGATGGCTGACCATCTGCAGCACGGGAGATCGCGGAGTTCATGTTGGACCTTCTGACGTCAACGTCGCTGCTCAAGAACACGCGGATGATGCTGGTGGCGTGCAACAAGGTCGATGCTCTTCCGGACGAGCTTGCGGGCATCTCGCCCAAAGTGATGGTGAAGAAGAGGCTTGAGGTGAGGAATCACGAGCCAGAGGGAGACAGAGGGAGAGGGATAGAGAGGAGGGGGACGGTGGAGGGAGGGAGGGAGGAAAAGTCTCGAAGAGGGCAATAGGAGCGAGGAAGGAGGCAGATGAGGGGGGAGGGGAACATCGGTTCTGACGAATGAGATGGGAGATGCAAGAGCGCTGAACGACCAGATGTGTCAACTCAAGTGGTGGACAGAGCAGAAAGGAGGAAGGGAGGGGAGGGGAAGGGAGAAGAGGTGGGGAGGAGGAGCAGATGGTGTACGAGGTGGAGGAGGAGGAGAGGGGAGGCTGATGTGTGCGACAGTCCGAGATAGAAGCGCTGCGAGTCGCTCGAGCTGATTCGCTCAACGACACTGCCAACACGATGAGGGTGGAGCTCGAGATAGCTGGAGCAGAGTTCAAGTGGTCTGACTCTCCGCTGGATGTGAGGGCCAATTCTCTTGTCTCCTCCTCCTCCTCCTCCTCCTCCTCCTCCTCCTCCTCCTCCTCCTCCTCCTCCTCCTCCTCCTCCTCCTTTCACTGTGCGGGCTCGTCTGTGATAATCCTCCCCCCTCGCTTGTTTTCCCCTCACTTCATCCCCTTCTTCTCTCCTCTCTCGCCTTACCCGTGAGTTGCTTGTGGTTGCAGGTGGAATTTGCTGACTGCAGCGCGATGGAGGGGAAGGTCACACCAGTGGTCTCATTCCTCAAGAAGGCGATAAATTCTTAATCACGAGAACAAACTATGAATGCATCTATCAGACTCAGACTCCTCCTCTAAGCCCTTACAAGCTTCCTCCTCCTCCTCCTCCTCCTCCTCCTCCTCCTCCTCCTCCTCCTCCTCCTCCTCCTCCTGGCGATGGTCTTTCCTATCTGATCGTGCAGCTGAACATTTGGACGCCCATCCCTCCCACAATGATACTGCCAGGAAACTTATCGAAGGATCAGCATGAAGCATCGGCACCTCAGCTGCTTGCGCGTCTCTCCCTCCTCTCCTCCCGTCGTTTGCTCCACCTCGATCGCATCCACACATGAGGTGTCGCAGACCTGCGCGCAACTTGTGAGAGGAGCAAACACAAATAGAAAAGAGCAAGGACGAGGACGGGGACGAGGACGAGGACGAGGACGAGGACGAGGACGGGGACGGGGACGGGGACGGGGACGAGGACGAGGACGGGGACGGGGACGTTGACGAGGAGGACGGGGACGAGGACGAGGACGGGGACGAGGACGAGGACGGGGACGAGGAGGACGAGGTGGTGGTGGACGAGGAGGACGAGGACGGGGACGAGGAGGACGAGGACGAGGACGGGGACGAGGACGGGGACGGGGACGAGGACGGGGACGGGGACGTTGACGAGGAGGACGGGGACGAGGACGAGGACGGGGACGGGGACGAGGACGAGGACGGGGACGAGGACGGGGACGGGGACGAGGACGGGGACGGGGACGTTGACGAGGAGGACGGGGACGAGGACGAGGACGGGGACGAGGAGGACGAGGTGGTGGTGGACGAGGAGGACGAGGACGGGGACGAGGAGGACGAGGACGAGGACGGGGACGAGGACGGGGACGGGGACGAGGACGGGGACGGGGACGTTGACGAGGAGGACGGGGACGAGGACGAGGACGGGGACGGGGACGAGGACGGGGACGAGGAGGACGAGGTGGTGGTGGACGAGGAGGACGAGGACGGGGACGAGGAGGACGAGGACGAGGACGGGGACGAGGAGGACGAGGACGAGGACGGGGACGAGGAGGACGAGGACGAGGACAGGGACGAGGAGGACGAGGACGGGGACGAGGACGAGGAGGACGAAGACAAGGACGGGGAGGACAAGGACGAGGACAAGGACAAGGAGGAGGTGCGGGGGCGACGAGGACGAGTGAAATTCGTCACCTTATAAGGAATGCCA